GTCAATTGCAGGCCCAAATGAAAGGGTCATTAATAAACATGGGTGGACGGGGGAAAAGATCGGGCATAGACGTCGGGACAAATACAGTCAAAGCATCGGTCTGGACCAATATGTAACTAAAGTCACAATGACTAAAAACAAATTATGATGAGGTTATCTGGTCGTTTTAAAAAATATTAAAAAAACGTCTTCACTTGCCAAATAAAATCAAAAAGTTTTTTTGGGCTCACTGGGGGAAAGCCACGGTCTAATAAACATAGTAACATTCTTGAGCCCGTTTGGGGCCTTCCGGGGGCCCCCCAAACCCAATGGCATACGGCTAACTTCTTTTAGGGGGGTAAAACCCTTTGCCGGGGGGGTGAGATTTCGAAGCATCCTAAAAAATTACCAAAAAACCTCCACCGTACCGCGGGGCGCAGTGATCGGGAGTTTTTAAATCAAGTTAATTAGTTAATAAAAAAAAAAAAAGGAAAACAATACCATGAGGGGGAAAAACATAAAAAATTAGCCCTGAGAAAATTTTTTGCGTTTAATTATTTAAATTAGGTTTAAATTCATAAAAACATTAAAGGTAAAAATTCATATATAAACAAACCCAAAAAAAGGAATTTTTAAATCACACAAAAATTAAATTTAAACGGGTATTTTTTTTAGTACAAAAAAAAGGGGGGCCCCCAGTCTTTAAATTTAGGAACATTTTATATTTATATAAACGGAAGGTTAAACTTTCCCTTAGAGGGAAAGGGAAAAGTAAAAAACAAAATTAAATGTTTTACAAGATATAAAATTTTTACAAACAGGTTGTGAAAAAAAAACCGTTTTTTCGGTGAAATTTTTAACGACCCTTTTGTTGGGGGGGAGGGTAAAGGGGGGGGGCGGGGAGAGAGACATGCAAGCCACCCAACGTTAAAAGGGGTTTCGAATATTGCGGTGGTCACATTTTCCACCCTTAAACCTTGATTGAAAAGGGGAAATTTAGTTTAAAGCAATTAGTAAGTTTAGAACCTAGTCAAACACTGTGGGTTTTAGACAGAAAAATGTTGGGTTTAGGAAGGGAGGTGTAAGTAGCTTAAAAACCAAAACCTTTTATTTTTTCTCTATAGGCCTACAATTTAAAAAGGCTTTGGTTTGTCAGTACCATTGGGGGCCCTTTGTGGGCCCAATTTCTAAAGGGTTTGCGGAATGGATAAGCCGTCTTCTTTTTTGTGAAAAGAATGCTAATTCTGACATTTTTTTCTTGATTTTTTAAGCTCCCTTTGAATGTTAGGGACTCTTTAAATTTAAATTATCGGGTGGAATAAACATTTTAAAAGGGACTTTGAGACAAGAAATAACCCCTTTGGGCTTTGCAACTGATCCCAGGGGAGTCGTAAATTTTGCGTAAAAACTGAAATTCCAAAAGGGTTTTTTTTTCGGCTTTAATTGTTAATCTAAACCTCCCCCCAGAGAATTTTTTTAGGTTCCCTCCCTGGAAAAAATTTTTGAAAAGAAAAAAAAAATCCCCATATTTTAAAAAAAGTATGGGGAAAAGGTTTGGGATTTGGTGGTTTGAAAAACAGCAAACACCCAGGGAGGTGCTACCCCCCTGCCAAAAAAAGAATGTGAAAAAAGAAATCGTTTTAGTTTTTTTCACACTTTTTAAGGAATGCTAGTGTTCTTTCTTTTTTGGGGGTCATAAAAAACGCAAAAATTAGGAAATTTGCTACTTCTACCCCACCCAATTTCTTTTTACATTTACACTTTTAAAGTACCTGTTTGTGTTGTTTGGGGCGTTTTAGTGTGGAACTGGGTGCAGTTTTTTCAATGCGGAGGTGGTGTGGAGTTTTCCTCTCCCCAAAACCAGCCCGGCCCCTCCCATGGGGCTTTACATCCCGTTCGTACCTTAACTGGTTAAAAAAAGCAGTTTTTAAAAAGTCCCCCTTAAAATAACTGCTAAGAATTGAAAGGGAAAAAAACCCATATCTTCTCTCAGAGGTGTCTGTAAGAACTGTAAACAGAAGTATGACAGAACTGGGCTACAGTAGTCACCACCAGGTTAAGAAACTGATTCTCTCCAAGCCACAGAAGAAACATAGGCTGGATTATGGAAAGAAATACCTTCACTGGAATCCTCAACAGTGGTCTGAAGTACTTTGGAGTGATGAAGCAACCTTCACCACCACCTGTAACCGTGGGGGACATGTGTACCGGCCCAGAGGTAGTGACACGCTAGACCCACGCTACACCTGTGGGACCACCAAACACCCAGACTCGCTGATGGTTTGGGGGTGTTTCAGTGCTCAGAATGTTGGTGAACTCATTGTGCTTCCCAAAAACCAGTATATGAACCAGTATAATTACCAGGAGATATTATGTGACAATTTACCTAAGGCGTTTGACAAATCTGGGGCTTCGGTTTGTATGCAGGACGGTGCACCCTGTCATACCACCAAATCTGTAGTTCAGTGGCTTAAGGACTGTGAAGTGAGGTTCTTTAATGACTGGCCAGGTAATTCCCCAGACCTAAACCCTATTGAGAACCTCTGGTCAATAGTGAAACGAAGTTTACTGGGCAAGGATATCAGTTCCATTCTGCGGCTGGAGGCTGCTCTACATGAGGCATGGAATAATACACCTCCCCAGACCCTCAAGAATTTGTGTGAGAGTCTTTCTACTCGGCTGAGGGACGTGATGAAGCGTAAAGGACACAGCACCAAGTATTAAAAACCTCAGTAAGTTTGCATATATATATATATATATATATATATATATAAAATATATATATATATATATATATTATATATATATATATATATATATATATATATATATAAATATATAATAATAAAAATCTTTCATGGTATGTGTTTGTGTTTTGGTACATGTGTGGGGGTAGGGGCGGCATAATGCCATGAAAAGAACTAAAAGCCATAAATGAAATCGAAAGAAACCCAAAGTATTTCTTCTCCAATGCCAAATCAAAATCGAGAACAACGTCCAGTATTGGCCCCTACTTAAACAAGATGGGTCCTACACAGATGACAGCAAGGAAATGAGTGAGCTACTCAAGTCCCAATATGACTCAGTTTTTAGCAAGCCGCTAACCAGACTGAGAGTCGAAGATCAAAATTAATTTTTTATGAGAGAGCCACAAAATTTGATTAACACAACCCTATCCGATGTTATCCTGACGCCAAATGACTTCGAACAGGCGATAAATGACATGCCCATGCACTCTGCCCCAGGGCCAGACTCATGGAACTCTGTGTTCATCCTATGGAGAGGGAGCATGGACACGGGGGTCGTCCCACAGTTACTAAAAACAACAGACATAGCCCCACTCCACAAAGGGGGCAGTAAAGCAACAGCAAAGAACTACAGACCAATAGCACTAACATCCCATATCATAAAAATCTTTGAAAAAGGGGCCTAAGAAGCAAGATCACCACCCATCTAGAAACCCATCAGTTACACAACCCAGGGCAACATGGGTTTAGAACAGGTCGCTCCTGTCTATCTCAACTATTGGATCACTACGACAAGGTCCTAAATGCACTAGAAGACAAAAAGAATGCAGATGTAATATATACAGACTTTGCAAAAGCCTTCGACAAGTGTGACCATGGCGTAATAGCGCACAAAATGTGTAATAAAGGAATAACAGGAAAAGTCGGTCGATGGATCTATAATTTCCTCACTAACAGAACACAGAGAGTAGTCGTCAACAGAGTAAAGTCCGAGGCAGCTACGGTGAAAAGCTCTTTCCACAAGGCACATACTCGCTCCCATCTTGTTCCTCATCCTCATATCCGACATAGACAAGGATGTCAGCCACAGCACCGTGTCTTCCTTTGCAGATGACACCCGAATCTGCATGACAGTGTTTTCCATTGCAGACACTGCAAAGCTCCAGGCGGACATCAACCAAATCTTTCAGTGGGCTGCAGAAAAACAATATGAAGTTCAACGATGAGAAATTTCAATTACTCAGATATGGTAAACATGAGGAAATTAAATCTCATCAGAGTACAAAACAAATTCTGGCCACAAAATAGAGCGAAAAAACCAACGTCAAAGACCTGGGAGTGATCATGTCGGAGGATCTCACCTTCAAGGACCATAACATTGTATCAATCGCATCGGCTAGAAAAATGACAGGATGGATAATGAGAACCTTCAAAACTAGGGAGGCCAAGCCCATGATGACACTCTTCAGGTCACTTGTTCTATCTAGGCTGGAATATTGCTGCACACTAACAGCACCTTTCAAGGCAGGTGAAATTGCCGACCTAGAAAATGTACAGAGAACTTTCACGGCGCGCATAACGGAGATAAAACACCTCAATTATTTGGAGCGCTTGAGGTTCCTAAACCTGTATTCCCTGGAACGCAGGAGGGAGAGATACATGATTATATACACCTGGAAAATCCTAGAGGGACTAGTACCGAACTTGCACACGAAAATCACTCACTACGAAAGCAAAAGACTTGGCAGACGATGCACCATCCCCCCAATGAAAAGCAGGGGTGTCACTAGCACGTTAAGAGACCATACAATAAGTGTCAGGGGCCCGAGACTGTTCAACTGCCTCCCAGCACACATAAGGGGGATTACCAACAGACCCCTGGCAGTCTTCAAGCTGGCACTGGACAAGCACCTAAAGTCAGTTCCTGATCAGCCGGGCTGTGGCTCGTACGTTGGTTTGCGTGCAGCCAGCAGCAACAGCCTGGTTGATCAGGCTCTGATCCACCAGGAGGCCTGGTCACAGACCGGGCCGCGGGGGCGTTGACCCCCGGAACTCTCTCCAGGTAAACTCCAGGTAAACTAGCACTGTAACTTAATGTAACATAATAAATAGAAAAATACTATTTAAAAGTTTTAGGAGTCATTATCACAGGTAGGAAAATGCGCTTTGGAGGACAGATGCACTCACCTACTTGATTGATACTGTTAGTGTGGTCGTAGGATGCAAGATTAGAGGATGATATTAGAGGCACTCACGCCATCAATGTTGTTATCGTGGTCGTAGGATGAAAGGCTAGAGGACAATATTAGAAGCACTTACCTAAGTCATCGATGTCATGATCGTGGTCGTAGGTAGAGAAGGCGTGGTTGTTGTGGTGGGAGAGAGCATCACCTCCCGTGCTATTCTTATGGTACTTTCCCACACTGAGTCTGTACTGATCGCTCTCACTACCTATCCTGCAACATTTAATCAACACTGTTTACTAGAGTAACACACATTCTGTACTAGCCTCTCTCTCTCACTGCATATCTTGCATCATACACAGTCATAAGCCAGAGTCGTAATCTCCCTGAACGATAATCATCACCGGTCCCTAACTATTACAATACACGTAATCTACACTAGTCTAGCATAACCATAACACACAGTCAAAATTATTGTAAAACACTCAGTCAACAGTAGTTACTACTGCAACACAATTTTTTTTATATTTTATTTAAAACACGACATAACAAGAATATGATACACTGTGACCAAGGCCGAAATACTTATAAACCATAACACAAAGGATAAACATTACACTCACAATAAACATGTCGCATATAAACAACTGAACATTAACTATAATAGGGAAAATAACCTATACCATAAACAATACAAAATAAATACACACTCCTACCTAAACACACACAATGTATAGCACATTATCAATGTTATTAGAACCCGCTCATACATATACAAACATGGATAGGTACACAAGATACAATGTGCGTGGTATAAACTTTAACTCATCCGGCCACTACACCAGGTCATAAAGACAAGACACCATGCATAACACAAAGGTTACCTAACAAGAAACCCACCAACAAATACATGAGCAACTAGTACAATGGTTACAGCATACAATAGTATTGGCACCATGCCTCCTACCTCCACTAACCTCCCCCCCCATGTAAAAAACAAAATTACGAAACCTTGTGACCAAGGCCAATGCATACAACATAAAACTTATCCATATGGCATGCAATATTCACTCGTCACAATTTACTATAGGAAATTAACAGGGGAAAAAAATCATTTGCGAAAAACAATCCTTTTAAACAACTGCATTAACCCAGGGGGTAAAACCCCCCATAAACACAGACCAAAAAATGCGCACCTGTCAAAAACTAATGCCCTGCTTTATACCTCTGGTTATAAAGACCACAAAATATAACTTAGCTAAAACACAAAGAAAACCTCATACCTCAAACCCAAATACTCTCTAAACCTACGCACCGAAAAAACCCCAATCCTCTTTTTTAACATAAAAAGGGTGTTCCATACATACTCTCACACACTACCCCTTCCCCGGGGGGAGCCCACCCGCCGCATCCCCTCCCCCCCCCCCCTTTTTACATCCCCAAGGGGGCCCCCCCTTTAAACCAGATACTTACAGGGAAATCCCGCCCCCAAAAATTCCCGTAAAGAACCCGATTTCGACACAACGTTGAAAAAAGGTTGCCGCCTTGCCCTTTTACGCACACTCCCCCTCCCCTCTCCTCTAGCCCACGACACAAACACAAAATCCACAATAAGGTAACCAAGTTCCCGCTGCACAGGAATCCCCACCCCCCCCACATCCAAACTTAAAGCCCGCAAAACCGAAACCCCCCCTCCCACCCATCGTCTACTTTCCCCATCCACCCCCGAAGTCCCTCAATCGTTACAGAAATGACTGCAGAAAGGCTGTACCCCCTCATCCCCCCAAACCCCACAGATGCCCCCTCTCGAATCCCCCCGGTCTCTAAGAACCCATCTGGGGGCAGGTACCATCAAACCGGAACATCACCTCCCGCTCTGGGCGGGATGCATCCTACACAACCACCCCAAATTCCCCCAAACATAACTGGATACGCTCCTTCCACTGTGCCACCCCCCCTTTTCCCCCCCACCATTTTTCTCAAAAAAACCCTCACCCTCAATGTTTCGCCCCTAACATACATAACCCCGCAAATGTCCTCACACACGAAAATCCTTCCCTCCCTACCACTTTAAAACACCCATCAAAAGGTGCAGCCCACCACCTTACCCCCCCTCGGAACCCCCTCTTTACATATACACCTATGATCCACTCTTTAAAATTAAATTTAAACCCCCCCCTGCCTCTGTGCACTGGGAGAGTGACACCCCCCCGCAACCCAAACACATCCCGACCCCCAAATAAACCTAAAGATCTCCTCAAAAAAACCCCAATATCTGCTGCAAAAAAGGGACATACACCACATGCCAAATTTTACTATATAGTAAGCATTTTTTAAAAGACCCCGGATGAAACGTTTAAATGACCCGCCGCACCCCTTCCAACCATCTATCAAGACCTCCCCAAATTTTAACCCCCTAGCTTTGGGGCATCCTGCATATACTCAATCTCACAAATCTTGACCTTATCCACAATACCCCACCTTCCCCCAACTACCCCTCCCACGTTTTTTTCCCCCCCCTCCCCCAGCCCCATAAACTTAACTTCTCTACATCACCCTCAACCAGTCCCCTCCAAAACAGGTCCACAAACCCCCCACCCCCCCCCCAAACCTTCCCCCTCCCGCACCCCAAGAATCGCGTTCTCTACATAACCGACAATTCCCCCACGCCTCTTCACCCCACCCTCCCCCCCCCCTCACACATACCTCCATCGTCTATAAAACGAATCCTGAAACACGCAAAAAGTAATTGAAAAAGGACATCCCTGCCCAGACCTCTACCCATAGGGGGTCCCCTCCCCCACCCTCCATTCACCTGCACCCGAACACCCGCTCCATGATACAATGTTTGCATCCACCTCACAATCTCATCCCCAAACCCTTGCCTCCTCATTATCCACCACAATGCTTCTCTCTCGACACTATCATATGCTGCATGCCAATCTAAGGCCAACACCCCCCCACCCTCCATACCTTGCACACTTTCCACAAACCCCCGAATCACCCCATGCCCCTCATACATGGTCCTTCCCGGCACCCCATACTGGCCCGCTGCCACCACCCTGTTGATCACACACTTCAACCTATTCCCCAATATTTTAGCGAATAACTTATAATCCGCACACAGTAAAGAAATAACCTTTTAGTCCTTCACCGTGTGCGGACTGGCCACCTTTGGGACCAAGACTACTACCGCTGTCGCCTGCAAAACCCCAGCTCACCCCTTTTTTCATCTCATTCAACAACCTCACCAAGAACTCCTTAAGTATGTCCCAATTTTGTAAGTAAAACTCACATGGCAGACCGTCGATTCCCGGGGATTTACCCCTACTCATACTCGATAATGCCCTCTACACTTCCCCTTTTTCATTGTCCCCACCCAGCGCCATACAGTCCCCCCTGCTCAGGACATTGACCACATGCCGTCCCAACTGCCCTAACGCGCCTCCCTGCACTCCTACACTCCTCAAAGAAGTCCCGAACCATTCATCAGCATAACAACCCATCCCTTCTGTTGTACGAAGCACCTGCCCCACACGAAATCCTCCGACCTCCTCTTACACTAACAAACATTCCATCTCTGTGGCCACCTGACGCTTCTGCTGTCCCCGCAGAACACATGCCGACGGCCTGTCACCCCACAAAACTTCCTCTAACCCATCCTTAACCTGCACTGCATTAAACCTCTCATTCTGCAATTCCCTGATGCGTTGCTTCAGCCCCTCTATTTTCTCCACAGGATAGCCCCTGCCCACCACCCCTCTCCCATAACAATTCTGCAACCGCCCCTCTAAATATCTTATAAGCCCAAAAGTCATCTTAGCCTCCCCCTTGCCCTGTCTAACATTATACGCCCTGATCCTCTCCTTTGCCACTCCATCCCACCATGCCAACATATCCCCAACAGCCCCCATCCCTGACCACAACTCCCTCCACAACTGCGCAAACCCCTCCCTCCCCCCTCCATCTGCAAGGACCTGAACATTCGATTTTCAAAAACTCCTATGCCTCCTAGACAGTCTGTCCCACCCCACTTCAACGAAAACTGCCCGATGATTTGAATATGCTACTTCCACCACACACACCCTTTCCACCCTTGCAGTCTGCATTACATACAACCGGTACAGACGAACAGCATACCCTCCTCGCACAAACGTGTGCTCCACCTCCCACGCCTCACCCGTAGCCACATCCCACAACCCCGCCCCTCGCAAAGATTCCCTAACACTACAGAGTGAAACCCCGCCCCGTGAGGCTCCACATCTTTCCTTCTCACCACACAATTCCAGTCACCACCCACAACCGCCATGGGGGAGGAGCAACCGGAGGTGGTACACTAACACATCCCTCACAAAGGCAGTCTTGACACGTCCATCCCCCTCTGCAGGCCCATAGACACACACTAGCGCCACCCTCTCCCCCATCCACAGCCCATCCACTCACACAGCCCACCCCTCCTCCCCTACCTCACTACCATACACAATAAACGGGCTGGTCTCTCGCAGGAGGATGGCAACCCCCCCTTTCAATCGAGTTGAATGCATGACAAACGCCTGAAATCCATCCAGTACTAACTCACACCCGGCTTTGTAATTGTGCTCTTGCACAAAAGCTACATCCACTCCATACCTACGAAGAAAACCCACAAACCACATACACTTCACTCTGTCTCGCAACCCATTTACATTTACTGAGACACACTCCAAGCCAGCTATACCTTGTGCCTTGTCGGCACTGATCCGCCTTTAGACGCCTGCCGGCGTCTACCACCATGCACACGATCAGACACTGGAGGTCGTCCAATATCAGCCACCGGACCCCTTGGCCCCGTAGGGCCGCCCCGTGCCACCTCTGCCCACACCTTCTTGCTTGGCCTCTGCGCCGGGGTAAGGACATCATCAGAGTCTGACAATGCCGCCGCCCGTTTGCATGATCCTCCCACTGCCTCCATAGCCACCTCCAGAAGGCCTTCGTTATGCACCACTGCCTCTACGGTGATTACATCCATCCCAGCAGCCTGTTTCTCAACCAGCTCCTCCACATCCTGGGACCGTACACAAGACGCATTCCCAAGGGATAATTCAAGCCCCTCCTCTTCCACCTCTCCAGGTGTGTCCAACAATCCCTTCAGCACAGTCGCTAATGTGTCGTCCACTCTCTCTTCCATGACCACCCTACCCTCCTCACCCAGCGTAACCGGGTCAACGGAGGAAGGATCTCCAGGTAGTCACACAAGACCCCTCAATCAGCTCCTCTTGCTCCACCTCTTCACGGGTGCACGTCTTTGGACGTGCACCCGACTCAGGCACAACAGTCACCTTCTGGACGGGCTCTTCCATTGGTGGCCGCCTTACGTCCTTCTTCCACTGTTGGTGACCACATTGTGCTGCAAAGTGATCGTACTCTCCACAAAGACGACAAGTACGGCGTTGCCCAGCATAGGACACCATCACTTGCGTACGAAAATCGTCCCTTCACTACATACGACGGTATGGGATGTTTCAAAGACATTTTCAGTGAGAAGGTACCTTCAAGGAGGCCAGCATATGCGCCCTCCGTCCACTTGCCGACAGTCGTCACATGTACAGTTCCATACCTGCTGAATACCTGCCGTAAATCCGTGTCATCGGCTTCAAAAGGCACGTTTCGTTCCTTAACCCAAGTGAAGTAACGTGATACGTCGATGAGCCTCATTGTGACCGCTGGGTTGACAACCACACAACTATCCTGATATTTGTTGACCAACTGCTCGTAGACACTCGTTGTTCGGAGCTTAACGAAGACCCTATAGGCTCCATTAAGCGCCATTTTCCATAAAGTTCCCCCTTAGGACACCAAAAAGTTCCCTGATGATGGCGGGCGGATAACAAAAAGCTGTTTGGGCCGCACGCCCCAGCACCAGCTCAAAACAGTGTTGATCCGCCTTGTTTTTGCGCCCCCATATTAGAAAAACTCGGCTTCTTAAAAGGGCCCAGGAGGCAGTGTTCGCACTACAGGGGTCGGCGTAAATGATGAGGAACACAATTGTCACTACCCCAACCACAAAAATACAGATTTAAACTTTTTAACCCTCGACATACCTTGATGAAAGTGGTTTGATTAAGGGGGGTAGACCCAAAGTGATTGCTTCTCACTCCATAGCAAAAAACCGGGTCCATCTTTTTTCCCCGGGACTTTTGGGCCCCTAAAGGTTTAGAAACTTCTTTTATATAATAAAAAAAAGAAAATTATAAAAAATTTATTTCGGTCTCTGTCACCCGGGGAAATGTATCCATAATTCACTTCCACCCCTTGTGTCTCAATGCCATGATTGGGTGTGTGGGGTGGCTAAGTAAAAGGACACAAGTGCAACTAAGTAAATTTTTTGTGGAAAAGTTTCGCTCCCCAAAACTTTATCAACCCTGGAAAGGCGAAACGTTCCCACAAAAAAAGTCACATTAGTTGCCTTGTGTCCTTTTACTTTACAATTGCGGTAATTTCCAACTTTATTACAGTGTGGCAAATTTGATAATGCGAAGGTGTTTGTTGAGACTTTAAGGGGAAAACCTATGGCATTCAAAAATCATATGCAAACTTATACCCAAAATGCCTTCAATAAATTTACAGTTAGACATAATTTTTCCAAACCTAATTAGAAAAACACCTCATGTACAAGGGGCCCGTGATTCGATCTATGGCAGGGTGAAATGGGGGGGGTGGAAAACGATTTTCCTAAATGGTTATTATGCTTAGTGTAGAATTTAAAAAAAAAATATTGAAAAAGCCCCCTCAAAGAGGCATTTAATTATTAAATAAAAATTAATTTACGTAAAGTCTACTTGAAGGTCGTTCCGAGGGTCAGTGCCCCCGCGGCCGGGTCCTTGATCGGGCCTTCCGTAGTTTGAGTTGATCAACCAGCGGGTTACTGCTGGCCCGCAGCGTCTAACAAACAAGCCACACCGTCTGCCTGAGATTTTTGCTTTTTTAAAGGAGTGATTATTTTTTAAGTTTTTGGTACTAGCCCTCTGGGATTTCGCCTGCGTTCCAGGTAGTACAGACCAAAGGACTTCTAACGTTCTTACGTGGAAGAGTCAGCTTATTCTGAATAAATCAGAGACGGAAGGTTGGTCAAGCATTACCCATAGGTCTCTTTAAGTTTCTGTAGAGCAGGCAAGTTTCCACAAAATAAATGACCAATGATTCCTTTAAGTTTCTGCGAGGAACTGTCAATGTTTTCACACAAGGAATGACCATAGATCTTTTTAAAATTATTTAAAGAACTTCCAACAAACCTGTTTCAACTGATCAAGATGAGACGTCTTACCCCGACCACAATGTTTCTCGCACTTTATACTTGTCGTGTATTCGCTTACTAACTTGATAGGGGCCAAAAAACTTCTGTTTAATTTTTAGTTGTTTATGTTTTTAAAAATTTTAAAATTTTTTTCGATCCTGTTTGATTTTATTTGGTTTCGCAGGGGGCTTCTTTACTTCGTATGTTGTTCTGTTTTTTTTAAAATTCTTAAGCAATAAAGACAAGTCTCACACAAAATGTAATATTTGTTTGGGGAGTGTATGAGGGGAGTACAGCTACTCAAAACAGGAGTCTTTTATTTGTATTATACAGAAAGCTTTGTAACTTTTTGCCTATGGAGGCATTATACGCTGAGTCAAGTGTTACAAGTAATGCACTCCACACCTTATTTGCCATTTCGTCCAGCCCATTACTAGGCGGGTGATGAGGGATAATACTTGACTTATTGATCTTGTATATACTGGGGGGAGCACTAAGCTGCAATTAATCTTGTACATACTAGGGGGGAGCACTAAGCTGCAATTGATCTTGTACATGCTAGGGAGGAGCGCTAAGCTGCAATTAATCTTGTTCATGATAGAGGGGAGCGCTAAGCTGCAATTAATCTTGTTCATGATAGAGGGGGGCGCTAAGCTGCAATTGATATTGGAGAAAATACATAATGTCTCAATTAATGACTTACAATTATTATTTTTCTCTGTAGTTTTAAGTGCTAGTTCACAATTGCAAGAGAAATGATCCACCATCACAACCAGATGCCAATTTCCGTTCAATGCAGGTTACAAGTTAGTCATCTAGTCGACAGATACAATTTCCCAAAGTTCACTGGTAGTGAGGTAAACCGGAATAGGATCAGGCATTCCTACATTACAATTAAAACGCATACATACTTTGCATTTCTGTACATATTCAGAGATTTCGAATGCCAAAGGAGGCCAATAATATTTCAGTTTAGCCAGTAACGGAAAGATCCATCCATGGGTGTGAAACATCATCTGACATCTGGAATATCGTAAATTAGATGTGGAGCTAAAATCACCAGAAACAGACTATCAACTGGTGGCCACACAACTAGGAGTGCCAAGTCTTGCTGCGCGGTACAGTAAATCTTGACAAAAATCTAAATCACTTATTGATATTGGCGTCTTTATAGACAGAAGTTTGCTTCTTTGGTCAGGAATCAACTTATATCAGACCAGAATGTATCTCATTTTTGCGCTCGTTTGACTTTCCTTTCATTAAAGAGAGGATCAGATATAAATGTACAAACGTGACAAAACAAGGCGTCGGTGACCAAGTTCTCCTCACGAGGTAAGTGTTTATTCATGCTTCGTTAAACTGTGGTTTTCTTTCACTCTTATAGACTTTACTTGTATACACAACGGAGAGAAGTTTACCGGTTTCAAGAAAGCTGTAATGACTTGTAGGAATAATAATAATAAAAATAATAATAGTAATAATAATAATAATAATAATGATAATAATAATAATAATAATAATAATAATAATAATAATAATAATAATAATAATAATAAAGTGATACAACCAATGAAAAACGGCAACAGGACGGCTAAGAACAATTGGCAGATGACCTACCTGAAGTAGTCCCAGGTGGAGACTGCGCTGTCACCGCTCCAGTCAGCCAGTGTGACTCTCAGCTGGTTGGGCACATCCCGGGTCAGCGAGTGCAGCACATCGTTACCTGCCAACACATCACAGCACTTTGTCATCCACATCATGATGTTACTGTGTCAGCACATAAGACTACTGTGTCAGCACATCACACTTCTGTATTGGAACATCACACTACTGTAACAGCACATCACACTACTGTATCAGCACATCACACTACTGTATAAGCACATCACACTACTGTATCAGCACATCACGCTACTGTGTCAGCACATCACATTACTGTGTCAGCACATCACACTACTGTATCAACACATCACATTACTGTATCAGCACATCACACTACTGTATAAGCACATCACACTACTGTATCAGCACATCACACTACTGTGTCAGCACATCACACTACTGTGTCAGCACATAACAATGTTTTAAAAGTAAATCGCTATGTTGTGGATGTAAATTATACTTCAGTGGCGCCACAATGATGCAGTGAGGATGGCAGGTGTGGCGCGACACTGGTGAAGTGAGAGAGGATAGCAGGTGTGGTGCGACACTGGTGCAGTGAGAGAGGATGGCAGGTTCGGCGCCACACTGATACAGTGAGAGAAGATGGCAGGTGTGGTGCGACACTGGTGCAGTGAGAGAGGATGACAGGTGTGGCGCCACACTGATGCAGGGAGGGGGGTGGCAGGTGTGGTGCGACACTGGTGGAGTGAGAGAAGTGAGAGAGGATGGCAGGTGTGGCGCCACACTGAAGCAGTGAGAGAGGATGGCAGGTGTGGTGCGAGACTGGTGGAGTGAGAGAGGATGGTAGGTGTGGCGCCACAATGATGCAGCGAGAGAGGATGGTACTCAACACAGCACTGCAATCAACACTGCACTGGAGTGCAGTGTTGATTACAGTGTTGAGTGCAGTGTTGAGTACAGTGTTGAGTACAATGTTGAGTGCAGTGTTGAGTGCAGTGTTGAGTGCAGTGCTGAGTGCAGTGTCGAATGCAGTGTTGAGTGCAGTGCTGAGTACAGTGTCGAATGCAGTGTTGAGTGCAGTGTTGAGTGCAGTGTTGAGTACAGTGTTGAGTACAGTGTTGAGTACAGTGCTGAGTACAGTGTTGAGTGCAGTGTTGACTGCAGTGTTGAGCACAGTGTTGAGTACAGTGTTGAGTACAGTGTTGAGTACAGTGTTGAGTACAGTGTTGAGTGCAGTGTTGAGTGCAGTGTTGAGTACAGTGTTGAGTACAGTGTTGAGTACAGTGTTGAGTGCAGTGTTGAGTGCAGTGTTGAGCACAGTGTTGAGTACAGTGTTGAGTACAGTGTTGAGTAGTGTTGAGTGCAGTGTTCAGTGCAGTGTTGAGCGCAGTGTTAAGTGCAGTGTTAAGTGCAGTGTTGAGGACGAACCTCCAGGAAACAAAGTGATATCTCTCGTTTTGCATTATCTCACCGGTAACATGATCCATTATCTCATTCAGAAAAAGTCTGGGAACCACTGTCATATTTAGTCAGGTCATCACATTACTGTATCAACATGACATGATACTGTGTCAGCACGTCACAAAGCTGTCAGCACATCATCACTCTCTGTTAGTATATCACGTATGTGTATGTATGAATATGTATGTGCATGCCTCTGTAGTGTGACCTAAGTGTAAGTAAAAGTAGCAAGATATTCTTGTTATCCAGCGTGTTTATGAGACAGAGAAAGGACACCAGTAGCCCTACCATCGTGTAAATCAATTACAGGCTTCCGTTTCATACTCATTTGGCAGGCTGGTAGTACCTCCCTGGGCGGTTGCTGTCTACCAATCTTCTGTCTACCATCATATTAGCACCTAATCAAAACTAACGCTAACCCAAAAGAAACATCTTTATTTATGACTATTGCTGTACTTAGCCACCTCTCCATAGCTCACATATCTACATTAATGTTAACAGTTACTCACCTATCCAAAACTCGCCATTAATGTCACCAAAGCCTTGTTTGTACTGGTTCCAGGAACGGTTAAAATCATGTCTATGATGATGGTCTTCGTGAGCTGGATATCGAGCCAGTATGACGGTCCACCCGCCTCCTGCACTCTGCTGGTCACATCGCACCTCTCGCGGTTCCAGTCCTGGCGGACGTACCTGCAACACACCAAATGTAGTATAGGACTGAAAATGCTGATTATTAGGGCCATGTTACTTCACAGTACTGTTTTGACTTTCATTTTCTGCTATTAAGTGTTTAAGTTTAGGGCCTTTCTATTGTCAAGAAAATTAAGTTACCAAATATCCTTGTTACTAAATGTTGATGGCATATTTTGTCCAAGGTAATCAAGACGATAATTTATAAATACTCAGAACAAGATTTTATATTAGTTATCTATTAAATATTAATTAATATATTGTATAATTTATAATGTATATTATTATTTAAGAATAATAGCGATAATTTATAAATACTCAGAAACAAGATTATTAATATATATATATATTATATATATATATATATATATATATATATATATATATATATAATATATTATATATAATATATATATTATATATATATATATATATATATATATATATATATATATATATGTATATAATATATATATATATGTATATAATATATATTATATTATATATATATATATATATATATATATATATATATATATTATATATATATATAATATATATATATAAAATTATATAATATATATATATATATATATATATATATATATATATATATAAGATTTTGCATAAAAAAACATTGCATGCTTTGTACAAAGTATGTTATGTAAAGGAACACCTGTGCAATTAATGAGACATTATATTACTGCAACGTTTTGCGCTCCAGGATATTTTTAAAGCAAATAGAAGCATCTCCGAAGTACTTGCACAAGTTAACACTGGAGTCGCCATCGTAACCAACATCCATTAAAGGCCTGACCAGGACCAAAATGAAGAGCCTTGAATCAGTCACTGCAGGTGTTTATACAATCCCGTGTGGAGGATGTGACAAGGTATACGTCGGTGAAACACCACGAAGCCTAGAAACACATCTGGGTGTACACAGCAATGCATGCAGAAACAACAACTTGAACAGTTCCATGTATTTAAACCCGGAATTCAACTAATCTTTTGGTGATGATTAAATAACCAAATTTTAACTTACGAAAGTGCCTTGAATCATCTTTCAGATACTATTAAACACAACAAACGTAGGCTCATTATCTTTTAAGTGATAGCAAGAATTCTCCTTAAAACGATAAATGGCCATCACATAGCAACCACCACTACTACCTCTAAAATTACTACTACAACTGCTACTACCACTACACCGCTAACAACAAGGGCCAGTAGACATACCGCTGTTCTTATGCTATATATATACCACTTGTGCCCATGTATTGTTTGTATTAAATGACAGTACTTCTGGAGATCAATATTTTGCAGCTAAAAAAAAAGTCTCAGTAACTGCACATGTGTCTTTTTTGCCTAGTGTGAGTTACTCTGTCAACATTATTTCATAGAACAAACTGACAGAAAGACAATAATAAAAGCTTCATGTCACTGCAGAAAATGTGGTGTTACTGCTTTACTGATATGGAAATTGTTCAATGCTGCACTTGGTAAGGTTTATGTTACTGCTAGTATCGATATGGATACTGTTAAATAAATTGTAAATGGCATTTAAATACAGTATGTAAGATACGAAAACGGTACTGGACATTTATTAAAAACCAATTAAAAAAAGAAATGAAGCACAAGGAAGGTATTATGTACAAGGCCAAGAGAGTTAGAGAGAAGGCAAAGAGAATCGTCCACTTTACTAGATATAGGCTTTTAGTGTTTACAGTCGGTCAGGTTGCAGGCCACGTCTGAAACCTTCTTGCCAAGAGTAAACCTAATGTAGGCATCATTACACCCAGTACGATCAAGAATATAGTTGCTAAGATAAACACACACCACAAAAAAGTTGCGTTGGCGTCTAGACTGTAAAGTGTAGTGCATGCGACAAACAATACATTGAACAAAGCTTTAAAACTTTGGAACAATGCATCACGGAACATGTCAACGAGACGATTTAAACAATGCCAGCATACTAAGATACTAACACTGGACACAGCCATCAAATAGTATTGAGCCAAACAAACAGCACCTGACCTGATTTCTACCATATATAATCCTTCTGTTTCATTTCTCTGTATCGGAAAAAAATCTGTAGCTGACGTAACGTCTAGGTATTAATACCTCATTTTAGTGTTATTTTATGAACTGTGTTACTGCTACTTTTTTATTGTTGGGTTGCTGCTGATATTATTATGTATTCCCAAAGTAGTACCTTCAAGAGAATGCCAGAATTTTTGTTCTTTGTTTATTCTCCTCCAACTTACATTTATATTTTTTATTTTGCTTATCCCTCGAGAGGGCCTCATCCAATCGGCTTCAAAATCTAAATGTTCGTGCATGGTCACGAGAACCAGATTCCTGAAAGAATTGGCACGTGTAAATGTTCTATAACCAGAGTTGTTAAACCCATTCCCAGCCTCCATGATGGGCTCGGATAACCTCCAGAACTCGTAGTCGTGTAACTTCAACGGTCAAAAAAAAATTGCCTCTTAAATAGCCGACGTCAGATAGTGAAATTTAAGGGAGTAGATAATGTATAAAAGAGTTGTTTATTCCCTTTAAGTATCTTTAAATAAATTTCAGTTTGTTTCTTCTGAACGGCTTCAGTGTTTAATGGCTGATGCATCTTATGGCGAGGATGCTGCCAAATAAGTTTTGTGTGCAGTAGACAAATTTGTGGACGCAGTAAGATAGATAAACAACTTAGAATCGTTGAAATCCATGCCATTACTGAAGTGACTCAAAAGATTCATGCTATTTTTATTGAAATAAATGCAATATTCATTTATATTCAAAACTATAGGAGTCATCTTCTGAGTGTTCGCATCGCTATTGGGCCGTGCGGACGTGCTGCGCAGTAGCTCCTGATTGAGTTGGCTTTTGCCCAGTGTTGACGTGTACTTAGCTCCGTGAAGACCTGTTTGCGCGCTCTCTACGAATTGAAGCAAGATGCCCTCCATCGAGCAACTTTACCAACAGCTTAAGGAAGAATTGAGGATGGCGAACATGGAGATTCGGCGACTGACCGAGGAAAACAAGAAGATTCGTAGTAGTCCTCCTGTTTTGAGTCCTCAGGTCAAGAAGGGAAATTGGTCAGGGGCTGGACAGCAGGGAACGAAGTTGACGATCAAGAAGAGGAATGGAAAGGTAGAAAACGATGAAGAAGAAAGAGACTGCCGTGAAAACTATTGTGGAAACATCTAATACATTCTCAGTGCTACCCGACGAATGTGAGTCGACTACTGGGAACATCACGACGAACGACACCAGGGAAGGTAAGAATATTGTTGTTGTTGGGGATAGCCAAGTTAGGTATATGGATAGGGCGTTCTGCTTGAAGGACAGGAGTAGGAGACAGAGAGTTTGCTTTCCTGGGGCTGGGATGGAGGATATTGTTAGCCGTCTGGAAGACATCATGAGAGGTAATGGGAGCAATCCTATTATCTGTCTCAGTGTTGGAGGCAACGATGTTGGCAGACGTAGGAGTGAAGACCTGATTAGCAGGTATAGGTCAGCAATAGAAATAATTAGGAGTAAGGGTGGGAACCCTGTCATATGTGGTATTTTGCCAAGGAGAGGAGTTGGAAATGAATGGTTGTCCAGGGCAATTGGTGTCAAATGCTGGCTGGACAAATACTGTAAGGAAAATGTGGTAACATTCATTGACAACTGGGACCTCTTCTATGGCAGAAATGACATGTATGCCAGGGATGGGGTTCACTTATCTAGGTCTGGGGTGGCAGCACTGGCAACTGCAGTGGAGGGAGCAGTTAGGACTTTAAACTAGGAATAGTTAGTGGTATGGGTTTTGGCAGGAAAACAGTGAAGTCCCAGCGTAGTAATATTACGAGTTCTAGGGGAACTAGTAATAAGCAGAACGAGGTAGATATTGAAAAGCCATGGACTTTGGGTGATAAGGACATTAATAGGTTTAGTAGAAAAACAGAAACGAGCAGGAAGGGTAAAGAGAAAGGAGAGTCTTTCAATGTTTATTATGCTAATTGCCATAGTGCTAGGAATAAGATGGACGAGTTGAGATTAGTTGCTAGTGCAGGTAACATTGATGTATTCGCCTTAACTGAGACGTGGTTTAATTCAAAAAGTCGGGACATGCGTGCAGAATGTCATATTCAGGGTTTTAAATTGTTCCAAGTAGATAGAAGTATCGGGAAGGGGGGTGGGGTGGCATTGTATGTCCGGATCGCTTGAACTTTGCATAAGAAGGGTATTAAGTCTAAAAGAAAACACATACGGTTGTTTGGTAGAATTTTCAGAGGGCATGAAAAACTGATTTTTTGGATTTATATACGTCCCCCAAACTTAGATAGGACAAGGGAGACTACTATGGGAGGAAATTGTTAAGGCCACAAGCACGATAATGTTAGTTAATTCTAGGAGACTTTAACTTTAGTCATATTGATTGGAATTTTTGACTGGGAATTTAGAATCATACGACTTCTTAGAAAGTAGTTCAGGATTGTTTTTTGAAGCAGTTTGTGACAGAACCTACAAGGGGAAATAACCTGCTTGAATTAGTTATGGCAAACAATGAATCCCTTGTTAATAATTTAGAAATTTCAGAGGAACTGGGTGCTAGCGACCACAAATCAATTACATTTAGCATTGAATGGAAGTACGATAGAACAAAAGTTAGAGATAAGATAGGTCCCCTTAAAAATAACTATGGGCATCTTACTGACAAAGAGAATGAAATGTGCTCGATTTTTAATAATTATTTTCTCTCAGTTTTTACACAGGAAGACACTAACAATATTCCAGTAATTATTTTTTATAGTGGGCTAGAAGAAGATAAATTATGTAACATCACAGTCACTAGTGAAATGGTTGTGAAGCAGATAGACAAACTGAAGCAAAATAAGTCGCCGGGTCCTGATGAGGTTTTTTCAAGGGTTCTTAAGGAATGCAAAATGGAACTCTGTGAACCATTAACTAATATTTTTACTTTATCTCTTCAAACAGGTGTAGTGTCTGATATGTGG